AAGAATTTTAATTAAAAAAACTCTGGTTTAAAAATAAAGTAACCATGATGTAAAAATAAAAACATTATAAAAACTCACTTACTTATCACATACCAGTAGAGAGTTATGACAAATATTGATAAAATATCATAAAAGTTGTAAATACTATTATAAAATCAAACGATAAGCATATACTTATAAAGCAAAATGGTTCATTGGTCCAAGAGCCTGTATCCTGACATTCTATCCTGCTGATTCCACTGATATAGTAGCCGTCATTGCAGGTGTACGTGGCTGTTGCCGAGACCAGGGTACCAGCTGTGTACGTTACCTGACCGTTCTCAACAACTGGTGGAATTCCACAATCTGAAATGAAATACTGGGTCAAAAAAGTTAAACGTTTTCTAAAAGAAATACACAATACAATCCATTTCTACTATCTAAAAGATTTCTATGAATATCAAATGTGATTTTGGTAAGATCCACAATATCTGTTATTCTAACTTCCAGGGTTTGTAAAAGTCACCTGACTTGTTTTTAAACCAGTCGGTGATTCTGTCGGAGTCTAAAATTATTTAAACATATGTTCACGCTTCGAACGAACCCAAAATTGATAGAAACTATACAAAAATGCAAGCTTTGACTTTAACAAAATGTAATTTTAGCGTGATAGGAGGATATAAAATCATTTTAATATTTTTGTCAATAATTTTCCCTGAGAATTCCTTTTAAGTTTAAAATGAAATCATTTGGCTGGTAATCAATATTGCTATTATGCATAAAAACATAACAAACAAGGGCAAAGTTCAAAAATACATAATATCAATTATATTTTAAAACATAACTACTAAGTTCCAGCATAAATAATATCAGACCTAGTCTACATTCTGGAACGGTTCCCCAAAAACCAGATGCTTCACAAGTAACATTCGGGTTTCCAACCAGGCCATAGCCGGAATTACATTCGTAGATGGCGACGTCACCAACCTGACTACCAGACGGTGTCTTGGAAACAGCATGTGGAACTGATATGGCGGCATCACAATCTAGCAAATAGAAAATAATAGAAATTACATATATTCTACTGAGTTTAAATAAATTTTCTTTAAATCAAATAATATTCATGCCGAAAAATATCCCTGGCTAGTATCTTTTAAATATCATTCCTCTTTTTAAAATTTAAAAATAAGATAATTTGAATCGACTTTTGTATCTGAAGTAATATGCAAAAAAAAAACAGAAAAATTTGAAACTACATTTAAATTTGTTTACTATAATTGAAGCGTGTACCATCATTATTGTAATGATCAAATATAAATCAATATTTTACTGTGGTAATGTGTTTATATAACTTTATTACCCAGAATTGTGCACACGGGTTGGTTGTCGCTCCACGAACCAGTTGACAGGCACACTCTTGAGGCAACGCCGGTAACTTCATATCCGTTGTCACATACGTAATAAACAGTTGAACCATAGATTGTGCCCGTTGAGTAGGAAATACCTCCATTCACAATATCAGCTACAAATCCACAATCTGGAAAAATAAATATAATCTGAAGATTGCCCGGAAAGAGAACAAATAAAAGCTATGTTATGGTTTTACATTTCTGACCGTTATGGTATAAAGGGAGGAGTAAATTCAAGAAAAAAAGCCCATGAACATTTTTTAGGACCAATTGTTATTATAAAAATGGGTCAAAGACAGAAAAGGCCGGGTTGCATATGTGTACAAAATATCATGAGGCTGTGATGTTACTTAAATTTTCTACCACTGTCTGACCATTGATGTTGAAAATTTTACTTAGTTGGTAAACCTGAAAAGCACCAGACCTGAAATGGAATCCCATAATATGGGACCACAGTCATGTCAATGCTGTGAACCACATATCAAGAGGCTGTGGTAAGAAGTTGTTGAGAAAACTGTTACAAAAATTTCCTACTATCTATTGATCATTAATTATGTCAAAATTTAACTAAATCGGCAAACAGGAAGTGGATGAGCGCCAGACCTGAAATCAAATCGCACAGTATGGGACCATGTGATAATGCTGTATACCAAATATCAAAAGGCTGTGATAAGAATTTGCTGCGTAAACTGTTACGAAAATTTCCAACCATTAACAAATAAGGTAAAAATTTAACTAAGTCGGCAAACAGAAAGTGGATGAGCGACGGACCTGAAATCGAATCCCACAGTATGGAACCATGTGTTGATGCTGTATACAAAATACCAAAAGGCTGTGATAAGTAATTGCTGAGAAAACTGTTACAAAAATTTCTTACTATTGACCATTAATGTTGAAAATTTAACTAAGTCGGCAAACAGAAAGTAGATGAGCGTAAGACCTGAAATCGAATCCCACAGTATGGAACTATGTGTGGATACTGTATACCAAATATCAAAAGGATGTGATAAGTAGTTGCTGAGAAAACTGTTACGAAAATTTCTTACTATTGACCATTAATGTAGAAAATTTAACAAAGTCGGCAAACTGGAAGTAGATGAGCGCAGACCTGAAATCGAATCCCACAGTATGGGACCATATGTTGATGCTGTATACCAAATATCAAAAGGCTGTGATAAGTAGTTGCTGAGAAAACTGTTACGAAAGTTTTTCCCCGCCCGCCGCCGCCCGCCCGGACGCCCGCCCGCCGCCCAACATTCACCATACTATAACCCGGGTTTGCACCAGTGCAACCCGGCCAAAAATAGGTCAAAGACAGAAAAGGGCGGTTTGCATATGTATACAAAATATCATGAGGCTGTGATGTTACTTAAATTTTCTACCACTGTCTGACCAAAGATGTTGAAAATTTAACTTAGTTGGTAATGCGGAAAAGCATGAGCATCAGACTTGAAATGGAATCCCACAATATGGGACCACATGTCAATGATGTGAACCACATATCAAGAGGATGTGGTAAGTAGTTGCTGAGAAAACTGTAAAGAAAATTTCCTACTATCTATTGTTCATTAATTATGTAAAGATTTAACTAAGTCGGCAAACAGGAAGTGGATTAACGACAGACCTAAAATCAAATCCCACGATATGGGACCATGTGTTAATGCTGTATACCAAATATCAAAAGCCTGTGATAAGTAGTTGCTGAGAAAACTGTTGAAAACAAACATTTCTTACTAATGACCATTAATGTTGAAAATTTAATTAAGTCGGCAAACAGGAAGTGGATGAGCGACAAACCTGAAATTGAATCCCACGGTATTGGACCATATGTAAATGCTGTATACCAAATATCAAAAGGTTGTGATAAGTAGTTACTGAGAAAACTGCTACGAAAATATCTTACCAATGACCATTAATGTCGAAAATTTGACTAAGTCGGTAAAGAGGAAGCGGATAAGCGACAGACCTGAAATCGAACACCACAATATGGAACCACGTGTTTATGCTGTATACTAAATATCAAGAGGTTGCGATAAGAAGTTGCTGAGAAAACTGTTACGAAAATGTCCTATCATTCACCATTAATGTTGAAAATTTAACTAAGTCGTTAAACAGGAAGTAAATGAGCGACAAACCTGAAATCGAATCCCACAATATGGAACCACGTGTTTATGCTGTATACTAAATATCAAGAGGTTGCGATAAGAAGTTGCTGAGAAAACTGTTACAAAAATTTCCTATCAATCACCATTAATGTTGAAAATTTAACTAAGTCGTTGAACAGGAAGTAGATGAGCGACAGACCTGAAATCGAATCCCACAGTATGGGACCATGTGTTGATGCCGTATGTCAAATATCAAAAGGCTGTGATAAGTAGCAGTTAAGAAAACTGATAGGAACATTTCTTCCTATTGACAATTAATGTTGAAAATTTAACTAAGTCGGCAAACAGGAAGTAGATGAGCGACAGACCTGAAATCGAATCCCACAGTATGGGACAATGTGTTGATGCTGTATGTCAAATATCAAAAGGCTGTGATAAGTAGTTGTTAAGAAAACTGATACGAACATTTCTTCCTATTGACAATTAATGTTGAAAATTTAACTAAGTTGCCAAACAGGAAGTAGATGAGCGACAGACCTGAAATAGAATCCCACAGTATGGGACCATGTGTTGATGCTGTATACCAAATATCAAAATGCTGTGATAAATAGTTGCTGAAAAAACTGTTACGAAAGTTTTTTCCCCGCCCGCCCGCCGCCCAACATTCACCATACAATAACTCGGGTTTGCATCAGTGCAACCCGGCCAAAAATTGAAAGGTAAAGACTTATTCTTAAGTAAACACATAATTTTAAGTTAACTTGACATCTACAAAGTTTTAACACTTCAGATTTCGCTTCATCATGTATGAAAAATTATACTAGATTTTTCTTCAAAATTATATTTCAGTGCAAAGTAATTTCGTGTTGGGTATTATTGTTATTGCGTACCAAGAATTTCACACGTCGGGTCAGATGCACTCCATCGGCCATCATCTTCACATGTTCTCTTGAACACACCATTGACTTGGTAACCAGAATTGCACGAATATTCCGCTTCTTCATTATATGTTGTTCCATGTACTGTCAATACCTGACCATTTTCAGGATCTGTTAGTTGTCCACAGTCTGAAACAAATCATGATGGTCTTAAAAGTTTAAATCATTATTATGCAATAGTTTTATCAGTATCACATTTGTATTTGTTTCATATTTCTTAATAATAAGCTTTTGCTATTTTAAACAAATTTAACTTTTAGTACACGCATGTATCAAAATTAACCTTTAATAATGCATGTAGGACTTGAATTATCCCAGTCTCCCGTGTTGGTACAATATCGTTCTGAGTCTCCCGTCAATGTGTAGCCAGGGTTGCATGTAAACACAGCAGTTGCTTCAAACTGGGTACCACCTGATAAATCCACACTGCCAGATGTCGGTGATTTCAAGTTTCCACAATCTGAAAAATAAATCATAGCCATATCAAAGTAGCAATGAAAATCACAGTATCATATTTCAAGTTTGTAGAAAAAATTGATAACAGTTAACACTTTGGACAAAAGTTATTTAAATAAATTCCTTTATTTACATTGTATGGCAAACATCTTGAAAAGAGAAGATCCGATCCTTTAAGAATAATAAAACAAAAACAAATAGTTGAAAATTTTATTGAGCAAACATAACAAATGCAACATCTCTCATGCCCCCTAGAACAGGCTAATTTATTAGGGCAAACCTCTTTTAAACAAAGACCTCAAAGAAATTATTTTTTTTTAAAAAACCGGAAAACTAATTAAGCTGTCACTCGGTTCTTTACACTTTGTTTTTAGTAATCAATGTCTGATACAGTCACCGAAATAACAAAGATTTCCAAAAAGCAAATTGTTTTAAAAAGTTTAACTTTAATACCTAGCCTGTCACAGGTTGGAGCAGATGAACTCCACGAGCTCTCAGCTTGACAAGTTCTCTGAAGTACACCATTAAGTTCAAACCCTGCGTCACAGGAGTAAGATGCCGTGTTGCCGTATGATGTACCAGAAGAAATATAAACATTGCCATTAGCAGGATTAGTTAACACCCCACAATCTGTATCAATCAATAAGTCTTGTCAGGAAAAATAAATACTTCTACGATGCATGTTATTAGATCATATCTCTTATTTTCATTTCAAAAGTAGGAAAATATTGATAGTAAAACATTCCTTCAGCAATATATAATAATATTCTGGTCAAGCATATTTTTAGACACTTATGAGTTTACAAGATAATATACCTTCACTGTTTTGCTAAAAACAGATAAACCTTCATTAGAAACATTTACTACTCTGATTTTTAATAAATAAAGGATATCTAGTTATAAAAATTAACAAAATTCAATATCTAATGCAGCAAAAGTGTGAGAAAAGGTAAGAAATTCGTTTGCCTAAAATACCATCATACCCCGAAATAAAAGTAAACATGTTTACTTTTTATCGTGCAATTTTCTTTTAAAAATAAAGAAATTAAATAAATATTACAGGGCGTCAGTGTGACATGCTGTTTTTTCTAATTTTCGGTAAAGTACAAGTATCTAACTTCTGGTAAAGTATAAGTATATTTATTTACCATTTATTTGACATACTGGGTCCGTGCCACTCCAAGTCCCGGACGCCTGACATCTTCTAGTACTGGATCCAACCAACGTATAGCCAATGTTGCATGTGAATAAAGCATTTGACAGGTATGTCGTACCTTCACTATTGTCAACTGCACCATTAGCTGGATTTGTGAGAAAGCCACAATCTGCAAAGCAAGCATGATATATCTCGCATGTTTATTGTAAAATTAAAGAATAAGTAGAACTTTTATGAAAGATACGAGTAACACAATTTTACCTTCGAAATTTTAGCTAAACACCGAAAAAACAAAAGATGACGATAATGTGATTTATAACAATTTTTAAAAAAGAGTTTAATATCCCTGTACTTATCATCGCAAAAGTTTAGTAGTGTGAATAATGAGCTGCAAGGACAGAACAGAATCATATTGAATTAAAGTCTGCGATTCACTTTGGTTTTGTTTAATCAGTACATGTAGCTTGGAAACAGACCTTTTATGTTGCATGTTGGCTTCGCATTATCCCAAGAACCGTCCTCCAAGCATTCCAGACTTGCAGCTCCGGCCATGTCGTATCCATTGTTACATTGAAAAACAGCCACACTCTCATAGGTCGTACCATCTGTTAGATCGACATTACCATTCGCTGGAGCAACAATTGTTCCACAATCTAAATATAAAATAGTACATCTAGTTACGTGACGCAAAGTATCGAAATCTAAATATAAAAGAGAACAACAGGTTACGAGAATCAAAATTCCGAAACTACATATAAAAGAGAACATGTTGTTATGACAATCAAAGTTCTGAAACAGAACATCTCGTTACGACAATCAAAGTTCCGAAATCTTAATATAAACATCTCATTACAAAAAACAATGTACCGAATTTTAAATATAAAAATAAACCTCTCGTTAAGACAATAAAAAAGTATCAAAATAATGTTTACTTACCGGAGATTGCAACCTTTTAAACTATGAAATTATGAAACATGTCGAAAAGAAAATCCAATTGTCCTGATTAATTTATACCAATTATGATGAAAATAAACACTAGTGTTCTAGAAAGTCAAATTCATTTTTATCTCAATAAATGAAACAAAGGATGTTTTAATGAAATTTCTGAATGAAATGTAGTTGTACATACCTGGCCATTGTTGAGTTCACTATTTCTTTAACATGCATTTATGAGGAGCTAAATAATATGGCAATCCATGCATAAGCTAGATGCAAGCTAGGTAAAAGGCTTGTGAAATATATAAGCAAGAAAATGTTACGCATGATAAAACTATTTAAAATACATGTACATAAACTTTATGAAAGAAATACCTTCAACAACAATTTGAAATGAAATAAATGTATGGATCAATGCTTTAAAATAGATAGGTTATTTTAACTTACTTTACTATGTGAAACATTTTTACGGTGACAATGCAACTTCGTATAAACTTAAAATTGTTTTAAGGTATTTCCAGTCGATGAAGTTCAGATATACTATATCTTTATTCAGGAAATCATTATATATCAAAATGTGAGAGATTTTAAAAGTAATAATAAAATGAGTTTATGTCATTTAAAAAAAAAGTTATAGCTTCCTAACTTATCAATAAATTTCTTAACAGAGTGACAACTCTTCGCCAATTATGTTTATGATATCAGCTGTGGATAGTATAATAAAGAGTTTTGACTTATTCATCTCAAAATGTAACGCAATCTAGACCTTATGAAACAAACAAAAAACATTAATTAGATTATAAGAAGTGATGTATATGCAGATAAGCAATAACAAATACTAGTTTATTTGAATCCCTTATATACATATGAAAATAATGTAAATGGATAAAGCGGCATAAGGATTAACATAGCACAACTACAACCTTGTGAAATATGTAGAATTTTTTCAGCATTTATATTGGCCTTTAAGAAATATTAGTATGCTTTATAGATATTTAGTCATAAGTATGCCAACTAGTTCTTTTTTTAACATTCTAATGTTTATAGAGCTTATAGAATGTTTGTAATTAACGATAAGCACATTGTAAGCAGGATGTGCAGTAATGGATGAAGCATAGCATATAGGCATTTTCTAATGTGGCAATGTAATGCACAATATGCATATATCGTATAGCAGAATATGTATTTAGCTGTATATCATATCAAAGCGACAAGAACTCAAAATACAAACCGTTTATCTGACAGACAGGGTTAGCACCGCTCCATACACCGGTATCTTGGCACGTTCTTGTAGCATCTCCTACCAAGGTGTAACCGGTGTTACAAGAAAACTCCGCAAGACCTTGGTACAGTTTATATGGAGTATATTGTAATGCGCCATTTAGAATAGCTGCCACGCTACCACAATCTGACAACCAAACGAATATGAATATCAGGGAAAATAGAAACTGTTATGTATCTGTATTAGATACTTTACTGCGAGAATTGTCACAACAAATTAAAAATAGAAAATTAATTATGAGTTGATATGTTTCTTTCAAAAGATTCAATTAAAACATAAATCAATTATACATTTTAGCGATGTGCATTGAATAGCTGCTGTGCTTCCAAAACTTTTCATTACATTAAACTGTTGACATACCTTTGATGACACATGTAGGCGTTGCCCCATTCCATGATTTGTCTGCCTGACACGTAACTGACGACAATCCAGTTAATGTGTACCCGGCATTGCAAGAAAAGTATGCTTTACTTTCGTAATCTGTTCCTTCACTTGTGTGATCGACAGCACCGTCTGTAGGCGGAGTAAGCGTTCCACAATCTGGTATTGTAATTTTTGTAATTTGTAATCGTTAATATGATGTCTTTAAAAGTTCTAGCGTGATTGTCACAAAGAAGTTAAATTCTAAATTACTCCATGGTCATTAAAGCTGTTTGTCTGCCGATATGCAAATATAACTTTTAATAAATATAAAGATTAAATAAATTGATGTAAAAGTATATGTATTATACTAAGTAGTCAGTACACACAATATGACTGAATTATAATTTTTATCGCTACATTTCCGCATTGTCACAAACGGAAAAACGACCTTATTTTGAATATCTTAACATATTTTAGCTATAATATGCTTATACAAATGCTTGTCCTACCGGTATTTACATAATTTGTTCATTTCATAACATTCACATATTGGAATTTCGTACAAATCAGTATGAATCTAGAGACAAAATGCTTTAAGATGTTTTGGAATTTCTTTTATAAAATTATATTCAAAACTAAATTTATATTAAGTACATTTACTAGTTTATTGTTTACAAACTATCAGTTTAACATAATATAATACTAACCAACACGACTACATGATCCTGTTGCCCCGGTGGGGTCTTCATATCCCGATTCGCAAAAGCATATACTGCCGTCACATTCGGCATTAGCAATATTGCCACAAACGACAGTTTTTGACGAACAATCGTCACCTAGTTCACCTGAATACATAGACAATATTAATCATATATCAAATTATTTAAAAACATGAACTGAAATGCTTCAAATACATGTATATGCAACGGCCATATGTAAAAAAGAACTCTCACTTTGTTATTCAGACAGTATTACCATATCCTTTGTTATGCAATTAAAAACTTATTGTATAATTTTACAAAATAATAAAAAAGAAGGATAAATAACATTAAAAACTCAATTTTCAAATATTGTTTTTCCTCATCAACTTCTTCGAAAATATCACTTAAATTACGAAAATTCCTTCAACGTTCAACAAACTTGTATGTGCCTGTTTGTGACTTAAATGAAACACACACAGGAAAAATTGGAAAGCTACTATGCTATCTCAACAGTATCCTTACGACTTTAAGGTGACAACGGACACTTTCCGTGGTACTACCATAAATGTCATTTAAACTAACATATTTTAGTAATAACTGCTTGTGCTTTAAATGAGTTTGCATATTTGAAAAAAATGCCTTTGTAAATAATAAATTTTGAACAAAAATCCTATTGTTGTTTTAAATCGTCCTATCAAAATTATTTTTTACCTTTTTGTCATCAAACTTTTGCAAAATAAACATAATCATAATATCTAGGGAACCGTGTCTCACATTTTTTATATCTTTTCTCAAAAAAAAAAAAAAATTACGTAACTTCAAACATTTTATGCGACTTTTTTCACCATACATATTACGTAAGTAAAGATAATTAAGTCACTGATTGAGCTAACAAAAATCCCTGACACGGTTCCCACCGTAAATGAATTCCCTTTCATGTGCTTTAAACCTCATATAAATTGCTTGATTATTAAAAAAAGTTATGCATATTTAAAGTTAGACCGACCCGCATCATACGAAGTGTCATATATCGTCCGTTCTCTCTCAGACCCCCGCGTTTCACGCTAAATTATTGCATAACACGCAACTATCGCACCAAAAGGGGCCACAAGCTACGGTTACATACTCTAACGGCTTTTTATGACCCATTGACATCTCACCAATTAAAAATCTGCTGATAAATATCAGTTTATAGCAGAAATTTCTTCAAATCCTAACGTGATATTCTGTCCGTCTGGTATCTGTCGCAGATGTCATGTGACTATTGGTGAAATTTGAGGCACTCTGTGGGGGAAATACCGCCTCCGTGGTCGAGGGGTTAGAGTCGATGACTTCTAATCCAGTTACCTCTCTGGCGTTGGTTCGATCCCCGGGAGATGCTTTGGTAGTTTAGCGCGGAGGAAGGTTGTCTAGTACTGGTGTAACTCTCCAGGAACGATGGTTAGGAAACTACCCGCCTATATGACTGAAATACTGTTGGAAAAAGGCGTAAAATGAAACAAACAAACTGTGGGGGAAAATGGAACGCATTTTTCATGGATAATTTATTTGTTTCACTTTCGAAGTTTTTTTTATTATCATCATCATTACATGTATTATATTATATCTGTGTCCTGCTGCCTGTGTATTCGTGTTTGAAATTTCGTTAGATACTAATTAATTTATTAACTAATTCATTAAAATAACGAAAAACAAGGCTTAATGAAGTCCTTGGTACGGTGTACAAATAGGAATGGGATATTATATAATTTTGTCCGACCAATTCATATAAATGCATGACATATTTCAATAGAAATAAAATACATTTCTCGATCAATTTGATCTGACCTTGACTTTTATTATCATGAATATTCATTGGCATATATCTCAATTCAGTTTCTTCTTGAATATACATACACTCAATAAATTTCATTCTTTGTGTCAGTTTATTAATGCTGTGTGTTCGATTTACTGGCGAACATAATATTCATATTCAAAACATTCTCTAAAAAAAATTTTCTATATCTGTCCGATTTTTCTATCGAATCATAAAAAATTTTCATCCGCAGATTATCATAAAAACATTTTAGAACTTTGTCATCATCAGTCATTGTTGTCTGTTTATTTTATACTGTAAGAATACGAGGTTGAATTTACAGCAAGCTATTGGATCTGTACAATTGTCTATAAACTCAATGTAATATCTATCAGATTACGGGACAAACAAATTATTATTTCAAACATTATTGTTATAATAGGCAGCTGTATGGTTTTAACCACCCCAATGTCGTTCGATTTGCCGCTATTCTAAATTATTTATGTTGCATCTTGACCGATTATTTCTTAATTTACTAAAAGGCTAAATAAAAGGTAGACGATAAATGTCGAGATATTCATAAAAGATGAAAAGTGTTGATACGATCCATGTATTACGAGTAATATGGTTCGGTTATTCAAGGATATATGAAAATACCGATTTCCATAATTGATGCCTTAACAGGGGGCGGAGCGTTATCGATGATTTATAGGTTACGTGAATACTAGTAGCAGATAAAAATGGTATATGTACCGGTTTAAAACGTTTAAAAACACATTTTTGGGGCTAACTGCTTCAAAAATTAAATCACGAATGTGTTCAGAAAAGGTTGATAAATCTACTGAGCAAAAAATTTCATTTTAGGTAATTTTAGTGATAATTGACTCCGCTGTCACTTTAAGCTCAGCACAACCTAAAATTATAAGATTTGTTACAAACCTGGTCTACAAGTTAAGCCTGTGAACCCGTTGTTACATGCGCAAACATATCCGTTAACTTGATCAGTGCAGGTGCCCCCATTCTGACAAGGAGACGACGCGCACTCATTTATGTCTGATAAAAACAAAGAGTTGAACTTAATTAAAATTCATATTATATACAACAGCATGCATTAGATGTAGCAATAGTGAGTTGAACTTTTATGTATTCATAAAATAGTATAAAGTTGTTCGAAACCATTTCAATTGAATCAAAGGAGAACGGAAATCCTCTCTTCAAGTTGTGTATAAATTTTAAAACGGTTAATATCACTTAAATTGTCAAAATTGCAGCTTTTTACCTGATATAAGTTTAATGTTGAATAAACGATTCAATGCTCTTGTAAAGTGGAAATAAGCTTTTTAAGCTTTCCTCCAAATTGTTAAGTTGTTGGAAGGGCTTATGATTTGTATAAATGAAATTTGATGGGCCTTGTCTCTTACTGGATATATATATTAAGCAGATTTACCTGTCTGACAATATTTGTCGGTGTAACCAGCAGCACATACACAAGTGTAATCATTTATCTCATCTACACATGTAGCACTATTTTGACAACTATGAGACGCACATTCATCGATATCTAAATACAGTAAAAATAACAACCATCACTTTACTAAACGCTCAATCATTTAGTATATAAATATCTGGAAAAAGGGAGATATCTCAGAAGCAATAAAATCAGCAATACATGTATTACAGAACCGATTTGATTGGGTCTGTACATGATAGAAAACGTGATAAAGAGCAGCAACTTTTGTCGTGAACACAATGAAAATAAGAGAAACACTTTTTAGTTTCTACTTTTAAAATCCAATTTTAAGCACTTTTTTATTTTTATTTTTATAATCCACAACAACTTTATATATAATCTAACAACTTTTTACAACTAAATGTATTTTACATCAAAATCCTATCATATCGCAATCACTTTCCTTTACAATACTTTTTAACACACACTAAACACTGTGACCATGCGGTCTCTTTTTATACTATGCTATCATGAAAAGCACGTGAATATGTTTGTGGTGGAATTTCAATGGCGGGAAAGTTAAAAGAGGAATGTAATATAATAAGACTTTGGCTCGAAAAACAAAGGAGCAAGTTAACATACAATAAAGTTAAAAGGAGAATATTCAAAGAACAGCATTTAAATACAAAGTATTCATTTCATAATCGCTATGTTAGCGACACTCCCGCCATAGAAAATGAGCGTACCATATTATTTTGATATTAGTAGAAAAATACAATATGTATGTTTTTAAGAAAAATGATTATTTAGAGCTAATTATAAATACGTAGAAACTTCTAAAGAGGATGCACATTGATTAACTTAGAATTGTCAAATTAATGCAATACATGACATATGATCTAATTCAAAATACATAAAGTAAAAACAATATGTAAAAAGTTTTTGTGTACAAAATAGTCTCTTCACAACCTCTTCCTGAGTGTTTCAACACACATTTTCAAACAAAGACAGTCTTCGTATCTCCACTCTATACAGAATTTATTGTTTAATGTTTTAGAAACTATGTCTTTGATTGAATCATCGTTATTTACATCATTGATTTTTTTATAACTTTTACTTAAAATAGTTTTTAATTTTTGGTTTTGCAATTTTCGCAGACTTTCTGTTTGATACATTATCTAGTTTCTTTGCACTTTTCTCACTGTCCGTGCCCTCTTTGTCATCAATAAAGGTAATATTTTTTCATCACATTCAAGACTATAAAGTAAGTTCAAAGGTCTTTTAGAAGGAAGCTGTACTTTAGCAGATCGAATTTCTCCATCATCAGATGCTACCTGAGAGTCGGTCCAAAGGTATTTGTGCGATATTTCTATCATTAACTGTGTCTTCACAAATTTCAAACACCTAACACTTATAAGCACTGTCATTAGCTCTAGTCTTGGTATAGTCATCTTCTTGACTGGGACAAGACGTGTTTTTGGCAAAGATTAATTTTGATTTCACATCAGTTGCATTTTTTTGCTGTAGATAGATTGTTGTGGCATAAGCCTTTGACGAAGAGTCACAAAAAACAAAGCAAATTGCATTTTACATATTTGTCTTGCGAAAACAATACTCCGACGTACTTTGATGTCAGATATCAACCTAAGTTGATTACTGATAAATGACCACTTATCGAGCATATGTTCGTCTGTTATCCTTGTATCCCAGTCGATACCACTTTCCCACATTTCTTGAAGCAACATTTTTCCATGAAGAATGACTGGTGACACAAGACCCATGGGGTCAAAAACTGATGATATTCCTTTCAGTACGATTCGTTTTGTCACTAATGAATGGTTTATATTCGAACTCACATATTTAACTGACAGAATATCTTATTTTATGTCCCAAACATATCCAGTTTCAGTGGATCTGTCAACTTCTGGAATAAGACATGTTTACTTTTTCAGTACTTAAACTCCACTTCCGAGGATTCATTGAGACGTCTTTAAACATGCATTTTGTTTCTTTATACAAGTCTACAGCTTGTTCATCGCTGGATGCTCCGGTTATAAAATTGTCCACATAAATCTCATGTTTCATCTGTTCTGATAGTTTAGTGTCATAAGTATTCAAATGAGCCTCAATCGTTGCACACAGAAGAAAAGGGTTTGCAATAATCCCAAACGGTACTCTACAGTAACAATAAAATTCGATGTTGTTTGGAAACAGCGATGGTCTTTTTATGTCTTTAATCCAAAATAATCTGGTTCATCGCGTTCTGAGACTTGCAGACGAACTTGAAGAAACGCCTTTTCGATGTCCGCAACCCTTGCCACTCTATGTAAACGAAATCTGATAAGTAGGCCACACAAGTCTTTCAGTAAAAAAGGACCTCGAAAAAAACACTCATTCAAACTCTTTGATTCTGGTGATATTTTTGCCGACGCATCATAAACAATCCTTAGCTTTGTTGTTGACTTTTGTGGCGTGATAACCGCATGATGAGGAATATAGTGATGTATAAATTCATTGCCTTTCCCCGAGTCTTGAACCTTCTCAATAACTCCTTTTGACAGTTGGCCTTTTTATAACATTGTTGTATTTTTCTAACAGGTCAGGTTTGTTTTCTAGTCTTTTCAAACACGACTTAAGTCGTCCAATTACAGATCCTTTGTTTTCGAGTAAATCTGGATTTTCTTCTTTACAATGTATCTACCATCCTGAAAGGTGAGTGTGCTTTTAAACTTTCTCATTGATAACTCATCATCATTCACTTTGTGTAGTCACATATGCCTATAGCCTCTATGTTTCAAAAATCCTCCAAATCTTAAATCGAGTGTTCACAAGAATCGATACCACAAAATACTCCTTTGTTTATAGTTGAAATGTTAACACTTCCGTGTGTGAGAATGAGCATGTTTGGTTCCTCTTTCTCTTTTATTCCTGAGTATGACCTTCCTGTTAGAATCCAACCGAGTTTAGAACACATCAGATACAATCCGGGCTGAACTTCAATCTTTTGTTGAAGTACAATGTCTAGGTAATGATCATTGCCGACCAAAAGTTCTATTTGAGATGTTTCATTTTTGTCGGGAAACGTATAAGCTAGATCTAAATTGTCTGCAATATCTCTGAATTCTTTCAGGACTTGTTTATTCAGTGACTTTCTATGTATGCGTCCACTTATCACTAGTAAAATGTTTGCTTTAAGACATAGTTTTTGTCGATTTATAAATTTTTTTTAAGTCACGCGGTTTCTTTATCACTCTAGCATCTTTACCGCCGAATGTAAACACATGTAACTCTTCGACATACTGCTTCTTGAATCTTAATTTGTCAGCTCGTGACTATCTGATATATGTTCTCTGAGAGCCACAGTCAAGAAGAATTCTTTTCCTGACACTTTCGTTAGACATGTTAGAAGTTGGGTTTGAATATCAGTTAACGCCGACTGCATAAACACAGATTCTCCGTGAGATAACAATGCGTTTTCTTCATTTTGCTCCATCGGTGAGATATTATTTTTATTTGCTCCGTTGCACTCATCTGTGATTCTTCTTGTGTTGTTTGTTTATATTTCCTAGGACACAGACTTCTATGATGTCTATTGAGTTGATTACAGTACACACACATTTTATTTGATTTGCATTCACGAATTTCATGACCATACTTAAGGCAACGATAACAACTACCTCTGATTCTATTCTTCCGTTGTTCCAACGTTGCAAATCGATTACACATGTCACTCCAATGATTCTCTGCACAATATCTGCACACTGGCTTGTTATGAACAGTTTCATTGGCCACAAATGTGTCGGCACTGCTACGGAATCTCTGATAATGATGTTGATTATGAAAATCTGTATTACAAGTATTCGTTGGAAATGCTGCGTCTTTCTTTATTCCTTAGTTCATTGAAATGAATTGACCTCCATGCATTCTATCATTCTTTCCTTTGTCAGACTTTTCACAAGCTGTAATGTAATCTCGTAGGTGATCACGCAAACTGTCAACAGTCCACTCATTTTTTGCTCCTTTTATTATTTCCAGCTGCCGGAGCACATCCTCTGGCAGCTTTGTGCGAATCACATTTTCTTTAAGCATATCAAAACTGCGTAAGGTTTTTTTCAACTTTATTTAAAAAATCGCAGGCTCTCAACCATTGTAGTTGGTGAATGAACATTAAGCATGTCTTTGTAAAGAAGATCAATGATCTCTTGTTTGTTTCCGTACCTCTTCGGAGAATTCCGACTGCAATAGAATAATAATATTGTCGTTGGTACGCGCAAGTCCAGCTAATGCTCTCTTCGCTTCTCCGCCTAGTTTGCTTAACAAATAACTAAACTTTTCTATGTTGGATAGTTTGGTGTTTCTGTGCACAATGGATTCAAAACAAAAGAGTCCCAAAATTCCCACATGTTTATTTTGTTTCCGTTAAACATGTCCAAATCAAGTTTTGGTAATTTAACCACACTTGTATTTTTTCTGTCCGTTTGCATTTGCACCATTATTTGATGTTGCTGTTCAATTTGTGTCATCATCATCTTTTGCATATTTTCTTGATGTGTCTATTTTTCTTTCTCATCATGTTTCAATGGTACATGTACAATTGACTCACAAAAGTGGTCAAAATCAATCATACAATTTTCCACCTCGAAATTTAAATTACAATCCTCATCTACAATATGTTGTAAATATTCTGTATCACTTTCAGAAAACGTTCTGTTAGTTTATCCATTGACTCATCAATTTCTCAGAATAGGATTTGAATAGACTTTTACACTTTTGAACATCTTTTATAAACTCAATTTCTGACACTGCACTCACCTCACATTTCAGAAGGTCGTTTGCTTTTTGAAGCTCAGTTATCACAACGTTTCTGTACTTCATTCTCACTCTTTTCAATGAAGCAACAGTTGGCATTTTGAATATTAATTCAGGTTACACAAACACAATTTTGTCAGAACACTTAATCGAGTAAAGAAATAATCCACCTTTGAAATGCACTTAACACCTTTTGTCACTTCTCATTTTTAATTTTCACTTCATACTTTACGTCCACTTTAGTATCCAAAACAGCAGGGCCATTTTCATTATGTCGTAAACACAATGAAAATAACAGAAAC